GAGATACCTAAATAAAAATTATTTAAGGTTTACTAATAAACACGGCACCAAACCAAATCCATTGCTGTCGAGTCAATTCTGACTCATAGCTGCCCTATAGGACAGAGTAGAACTGCCCTATAGGGTTTCCAAGGTTGTAATCTTTACCGAAGCTGACTGCCACACCTTTCTGCTGCAAAGCAGCTGGTAGGTTTGAACCACTGACCTTTTGGTTAGCAGCCAAGCACTTAGCGACTGTGCCACCAGGGCTCCAATAAACACAGTAACGAATTTATATTCAATTCTATTCTTGGTCTTAGTTGGGTTGCATAAGCACATTACTTCCTTAAATAAACAAACTAAAGCATTTCTGTTGTCTGTCTTTCCAGATAGACTGTGAGCTTCTCAAGGACAGAAGCTGTATTTCTAGAACCTTACAGTATGTGAGACACATAATAAGTGCTAAATAAATATTGAACAAATCAATTATGAATAATCTGTGTTAAATATGGAGGAAGCAATTTGGTGATTTACCTTTGCGTTTCTTCTAAGCAACATTTTAGTAGTGAAGAGCAGGAGGCCTTGAGATAAACTATAAAGCCTGATTTTGAATCCCAGTTCCTTAATATAATAGTTGTATATACTTAGCAAGTTAGTTACTTCTCTAAACCTCAATTTCCTCATCTGTAAAATAAAGTGAGATTACATGTATAAATTTAGCATAGTGTCTGACACATAGTAAGTGTTCCATAAGTGGTGGCTAATATTACAAGAGACCTGTACCAAAATTTTTATCTTTGGGCTTTATTTGTCAAGTTTAAAGTAGACACCTATAAGGGCACAAAACACTAGTATGTCTGACAGCAGATAATTGGCCCTTCCCAAAATTACACCAAGTTAAAAAGTGAAAAACTTAATAGTAGACTATTTGCTATTGAAACTAAACCTCATGAATTATTAATCATTGGTAATTAAGTGGATAATCATGGCCGTTATCAGTGCAATGAGTACATTTCCTCCTGTTGTATGTCGGTTTTTTAGTAAATCAGTTTTTTTTAATGGAGTTTTGTGGATATTTTTAAAGCAAATAATCTCCCAGTGTATCTTTTATATTGATTAAGATAAATTTGATATATGAGATTTGCTTGAATGATATGTGCATGTATAAAATTATTGGTGGACATAATTGCATTTAAGAATGGAAAGAGCAGAAGATCTAGTCCATATTTCTAATTTTTCAGCTTCCATAAGTGAACTTGGAGCCTTGGTGGTGCAGTGGTTAAGAGCTTGGCTGCTAACCAAAGTCTGCAGTTCAAATCCACTAGTCACTCCTTGGAAACCCTATGAAGCAGTTCTACTCTGTCCTGTACGGTAGCTATGAGTCGGAATCGACTCGACTGCAACGGATTTGGTTTTTTTTTTGGTTTTAAGTGAACTTAGTCATTTTAAATAGTTCTCTGTCACTTTCTTTGCCTATGTAGTGAATAGTACTATCACTCTGATACTATTTTTTCTTTTCTTTACATTAATACTGGCATTTTTCTGAATACTTTTATGAAAGTAAGGAATGTAAGAAGACTCATTGATTAAACAAATATTCTAAGGTTTTAAATCTGACTTTAAAATTTCTTTTAATTCCAAGTTACAGGCAGTCCCTGGGTTAAGAACTTCCGACTTAGGGACAACTCATACTTGCACTTTAAAGTTATGTAAATTTGCCCTCACTTTGAAACGATTGAACCAAACTCTACCCGCAGCAGAGTCTTCATCACAGTCACCTTCACTTGCTGCACGTGCAGCTTTTAAATCACTGAAAAGGCCTCATTCAAGCTTTTACTTGCACTACCCTGTTGCCATCGAGTTGATTCCGACACATAGTGATCCTGTAGGACAGAGTAGAACTGCCCCAAAGGGTTTCCAAGGAGCAGCTGGTGGATTAGAACTGCTCACCTTTTGGTTAGCAGCCGAACACTTAACGCTGCGCCACCAGGGGTCCACCTGAGAGCTGTATGCACCTGTTCCGACTTACCTACAAATTCGAATTAAAGACACAGTTAGAAATGGATCTCGTTCGTAACCCGGGGACTGCCTGTATTTACAAGAGTTATGATTGGCTGGCAAAAATAATATAATTACCCTCTAAAACAAAACAAAGCAAAAAACATCACCAAACAAAAAAAACCTTTAAGACCTTTTTATTCTACATAAAAAAAGAAAAATTCAAGTTTCTCAAAAAAATAAATATCCACAAATTAGTGCTTTTTTTGTTTTTTTCCTTGTAAACCCTCGGCATTAGCCATAGTCAAGTGATTCAGAAGACACAACTTGGAATATAGTTCTAAGAATACAAGATGTTTGATTAAAGTATTATGGTAATATATGGCCTTCTGGAAAACTATTTCAGCACTTGAAATGTTTGGATTGAATTTGGTGAATTTATGCTTTTTGTAAGTTAATACTTAAAAGAACAGAATTCAGCATGTAGCGTGGGTTCTTAGAGGCTGCATTAAGTAAGGGACAAAGCAGGCAAATCCTTAACCTTTCTTGCCAACTGCATGGTAAGGATCAGCATGAATTCATTCCCTAAAATGTTGGGATGAATCCAGTCCTCACCTTCCCACTTCTCCATCTGCATCACCAGCTGCTCAAACGACCCTCTCTTCGACCCTAGCCTCCTGGAGCTGGGTCAGAACTCACAAGTTAGAAGGACAACCATCTTTCAGACCAGTTGCCCAGGCAGCATTTCTTTGACAGTGGCCACCCGGAGCTGGGTCAGAGCTCACAAGTTACAAGGACATCTTCTCTCAGATTGCCAGATAGGCAGATGCTAGCCCTTGTGGGTTCGTTGATTTGCTGGAACAGCTCACAGAATTTACGGAGAGTGTACCATATTTAAGGAGCCCTGGTGGCACAGTGGTTAAGAGCTATGGCTGCTAATCAAAAGGCAGCAGTTCTAATCTACCAGTGGCTCCTTGGAAACCCTGTGGGGCAATTCTACTGTCCTATGGGGTCGCTATGAGTCAGGATCGACTTGACGGCAATGGGTTTGGTTTTGGTTTGGTACCATATTTAAGGCTACATATTTATTACAACCAAAAAGGATACAAATGAAGAGATGCTTAGGGTGAGGTCTGGGAGGGGTCCCAGCTTAAAGCTTCCCAGCCCTAAAGAGGGACACACTACTCTCTCCTGTGCATGGTCACCAACCAGAAAGTTTATCTGACCCTTAGGATTCGAGGCTGTTAAAGTCCTCCACCACATGGCCATAATCGATTACATCATGCCTCCTGAGGCATACTCAGCATCAGGTTCCCCTAGGTGGTCCCTCTTGGTCTGGTCAGCGTCCACTCATTAGCCTCAGGTGTTGGTCCACCTGGAAAGAATTGAGAACCAAGGCCAACTTGCTTTCAGCATGGTAATTCCACTCCTCTGTGAGGCCCTTTTTGAGGAGTTTGCCTACAAAATTGAAAACAGCTAGCAGTTTTATGTAAGGCAGTCCAGCAACCTACAGTGAATGGGATTTATTAATAATGTTAAACTTGAATCTGTTTTCTCAGGTAACTGCATTGTCTCATTTGCTCCTAGAATATCACTGAGAATTAGGAAGCAGACAGTCTCCATTTTAACCATTGTGTCACGTCCAATGTTGCAAAGCAGCAAATCAGTGATGATATCTGTCATCTCCTGATTCTAATTTTTCTTTTCCATATGTTGGTTGGTTTTCACCAGGTTACTTTACTGGTTCCTTAATCCAACCTGAGATTTAGGAAGTGTCATAGTCTGTAATTCTTAAGAAGATTTGCAAAGTGTTAGGCTGTAGGTACCGAAAGAGTGAACTTGAAAATAAAATTGCCCAAGTAAAATTAAAATTTTCTCTTAACTTGCTAGTATACATTTCTGGACACAGGTTTTTCTTTATCTTTTACAGTTTTACATTTCGTCTTTAAATTAGCAAAATCTTGATGATTAAAATCTCTCTTCATTGTAATTTTGGTTTCTAATCTATTAATGGAACCCTGGTGGCAGTGGTTAAGAGCTCCTCTGCTAACCAAAAAGTAAACAGTTCGAATCCACCAGCAGCTCTTTGGAAACCCTAAGGGGCAGTTCTACTCTGCCCTGTAGGGTCACTATGAGCCATGTCAGCTTGGGTGTTTTAGAGAAAGAAGATAAAAGCTTTATTTGTATTTTAAACGTTCAGATTACTAGTGTAAACTTTAAAAAGGTAACTTTTTTCCTTTTTGTAGTAGAGATACAGGAAAACTTTTAAGAAACAAATTTAAAGTAAATTTCTTTTGGGTTAAAAGAATTTTTGAAGTTGATTATAGTCACTAATGCCACTGAAAAACCATAACTGGGATTTAAAAACTATCTTTTAAAAACAGTATAAAGTATGTATGAGATAGAACTGCTCAGTGATATCTATAGGGAGGTTTGATTAAAGAGAATTCAAGGGTGGGATCAGAGAAGGAGTAATTGTTCCAAGTTGGAGATCTGTTTGGAATCAGGGTCACAAAGCCCCGTTGTGATTGGGCATAATTTATTTTTCTGAAATGTGATTGGCTAAAATCCTTTTCTTTTCATGTTATTTTCTAATAACTGAGTCTGGAGCCTTTCTCTTTTTATCATCTGACCAGTGAGTTTGAGGTATGTACTAGTACTAAAAGTACTCAAATCGGCGCAGCGACAGTTTGTGAATTTTCAGTACATGGACAGAAACCTGGAACAGAATATTTGGCCTTTCTTATAACAAAGTTGTAGCGAGGTGTGAATCTCTGAATAGCTCAAACACATAGTATCGCTGCAAATGGGAAGAATGAAAGGATGACAGCGTTTTCTTCGTTTTCACTTAAAGTCATAGACTGTGTTCTGCAGTGACTACGTTCTCTGGGCTTTATTTTCAATAGAAAGTGTTGCTCTGCTTTGCTGTTGTTAACTCAGGCTAACTCAAACGGCGTCATGTGTTCTGAAAAACATAGCTCTGGAGATGTGACGTTTAACCAGGAGTTTATTTTGTGATCCAGAGTGGAACTAGCACACTTAACTGTCGCTTCATCCCCCCCACCCCACACAGACGAGGGAGCGACGAATAGAGAGGTAAACCTCAAACACTTCAACAGTGTTGCTGAAGAAGGAGAGCTTTCCTTTCCGCCGCGCCCCGCCCCTCTTTCCTCCTTAGTCTTGGAGCAGCCGTCTCCGTCGCGGGAGCCTAGCTTGTCCCGCCGCCGCGTCCGGCACTACTTTCCGTCTGTGGAGGTCCTCCGACCCTCTCCTGCGGCTCCCGCCCCGCTGCCCGCGCCGGCGGAAGGAGACTCTCAGCGTGCTTGCAGCTTTGGTTGTGGATGGGCCGGCGGAGTAGTACTGGCCGCGGCGCTGTGGCGGCGTCCGGGGCTTTCTCAGAGCCTCCGACGGCTCTGTGGAGATTTGTCAGTTTTTTTGTGGAACTGCAGCCCAAGGCTACGAGTTCGGGAGTCCAAGGGAATTTCGGGGACAGCGAGCGAGCGGGCTCGCGGTGCCCTCCCAGGCAGAGCGTTTGGTGCGCCCCGAGTGTGCGTTCGCTCGTTCGCCGAGCTGCCGGCGTCTCTCGGTCCGCACTCAGCATGGGCGACCGGTAGGAGTGGGGTTTCGCTGGTTCCTTGGTCGTGAGGAGGAGTCGGCCGCTTCGGGAGGGACAGCTATGGCGGTGGAGACGCGGCCGGAGCTGGTGGGGAAGCGTTTTCTGTGTGTCGCTGTCGGTGATAAGGCGCGCCCCGAGCGCTGGGAGAGCGGACGGTGCTGGAGGGGCTGGAGAGCGGGGGTCATCCGAGCCGTGTCACACAGGGACAGCCGCAATCCAGATCTAGCGGTAAGAGAGCGAGCAACCCCCATTATTCTTCTCCCCGCCCGCACCTTCAATCTCTTCGTTGCCGTACCTTGTGGGTTACCTTTGGCACCTTGCTCAGCCGGGCCAACTGGCGGTCACGCCCCCCTTCCGAGCTCTCGGCGGGTTTGCCCGCATCCGCTGATCGGGTCACAGCCTCCCCGCGAGTGGCTTCCCCCGCGGGGGACGGTGACCTAGCGGAACTCCCCGGCGCCCCCGCCACGCGCCACAGGGGACCTGCGGGGCTCACCCGGGCCACTCGACTGCTGTTGGGGAGAGGGTTGGCCGCAGCTCCCCCTGCAGCGCCCCGCCACCGCGCAGACCTCACCGAAAGGCGGGGCTACAAGCCCAGCTCCAGGCGGGCAGGTTTGGGAGGAGGCCACGAACCATTGGTGGCAGTAGGTGGTCAGCTTCGCTAACATCTCTTTCCTTGTTTTAAAAAAAAAGTCTTAATCGTGCAAAAATTATCCTGAAAGTTTGCTGAAGGAGAGGGAGAAAAGGTTTCTGATTTTTAGGTGGATATGTGTGTGTTTTAGAGGCAAAAGCCGTGGTAGTGCTATGCCCCGATCCATCCTTTTTCTACTTAGTAGATGCTTGGATTTCTAACAAACGATGAAAACTCAAATTTTTGGTACGGAGGGTAATAGAAGTTAACGTTTTTTGCTTTCGTTGTAAAAACCGTAACAGTGTTTTTGTTGTTGTTAGAAATGGATAGTGCTTTAGCATCGGCATGTTTCTGGGTTTTATATGATTGAAGCAAGAAATTTTGTGAACTGGAACTTTAAATGCCATGCAGAACCTTAAAGAAAGTGTCTGTTTCCTTGCTTTCTTTTCTTACGAGGCTGCCAATATTTTTCAGTAGTGTAGGCATGTGCATGATTTCGAGAAGGGATATGCTCCGTTGTGTTTCAGGCATAGTCTCACTGGGGGACAGGGTGGAGGTAAGGGACAGAGTAGAGACAAGACATTGACCAGGCTTTCCAAGGTTGAGTTGTGAATACATAATCCGTGAAATTTATTTCTAATGCCCTCGGACATTTTACTTCCGTTTTACAACTTGATGTCGGCCATTTGTCTGTCTGTCTGTTCTACGTCCACCTGCCCATCCACCCTCCCTTGATGCTTAAGGTAATTGCATCCGTTTTCCAGCCAACCTTAACTAAAGTGTGAATATTTAAGAAAATGTGTTTTGTTTTTTACAACACACAAAACGAAACAATGTGTTTCAAAGATCAAAGATAAGGTCGTTTTTATTTTGGGGAATTTTCTGGTGATAACTTAGAGAGGAGTAGTTAAACTTGGAGTGTAGATTTTAAACCATGCTAAACTGTGTACCTGCAGATAGGAGTTATTTTGCAGATCTTATGTGGCTTAAATATAAATAAAATATTCATGTTAGGACATTTAAAGTGGTTTATGATTGATTTGTTTATGAAGAAGCCCCTCTTCCATTTTCAGTTCTATCTCTGCTTAGCTCTTGTTTAAGTTTCATGTTAAGTTGGGAATACTTGATTCCTTTCTAAGTTTTGTTAGGATAATTCTTCAGGTCAATCCAAAATTTATCCAGTGGTCTTGCAGTTTTGGCAATACTAATTTATGGTGTATTCATAAAATGTTCAGTAAATGAATGACTGATTTTACTTGGTTACTGTAGCCTTGGTAGTTTAACCATAGGGAGAATTGTTTTATCTAGTAAGTAGGTAGACTTTTATGTCTGATTAGAGAATATAGACTGATTTTCACACTCTCCTGAATTATTTGTTGTTATTGGTACTGAAGATTTAGGAATGGGAAAAAGAGTAGGTAAATTGCAGCTTCGGTGGTGCTAGCTGGTTTTTAAAGGAAGGTGGTAACCTAGAAAACCAAGCATTTCAGTCTGCTTGATTCCAACTCATAGTGACCCCGGTGTTACAGAGTAGAACTACTCCGTAGGGTTTTCATGGCTGTAATCTTACAAATGCAGATTGCCAGGCCTTCTGTAGTGCCACTGGGTAGGTTTGAACTGCCAGCCTTTAGGTTAGTAGATGACTGCAAATCATTTGTGCCACCCAGGGCCCGTTAACCTAGTAAATGGTGTGAATGGTATGTTTCTGTGTCAGATTAGGTCCCTGGGTGGTGCAGTGGTTTGCACTCAACTACTAACCAAAAGGTTGGCAGTTCAAACCCATCCATTGATGGGAAGAAAGTCCTGGTGATCTGCTTCTGTAGAGATTATAGCCAGGAAAACTATGGAGCAGTTCTGCTCTGTAACACACGGGGTTGCCATGAGTTGGGTTTGGTGTGGTATAAAATTAAATAAAGGAGTTATTCTTTCTCTTGACTCATCATATATACATTCTAGCACCTATTTTGATTCCATTAATTTAAGATAGAGGATGTTTTCATTTATCAAGATAATTGATCTAAGGAAATTTTTATAAGAAACCTGGTCTTACTGTCTTCATGTAGGGATACAACTACATTTGAAAGTAAAAGTGTCTGCTAGATATTTCAATGTATTTAAAGCATATAGGCTGTTTTCCTGTATTATATTTAATATGTCAATTGCTTTTGACTATTTCAAGTTACATACAAAGAATGTCTTTAACTTTCAAAGTTACATTTATTTTCTTTCTCTTTCACAAAGTTAGTATAGTACCTAGCATTTACTTAAGATGTTCAGTGAATGTTTATTGACTGGTTAATAAAGGAATGAATATCTTAAGTGTCTTAAATGCTTTAATTCATACTAACCATCTCAATTATCTGTTACTGTTTACTCTTAATTTTGAATCTCCTTTGTTTCATTTGTGGCATTGTGTACTTTAATGGTTGTTTCCACAATATCCATTCTATCCCTTTCCTATTGTATGATTTGCCTAAAGGGTGGACCCTGATTTTCCTAAGCTGAGCCCTGGTGGTGCAATGGTGGTGCATTCAGCTGCCAACTGAAAGGTTGGCAATTTGAACCCACCCGTTGGGTCCTCAGGAGAAAAACTGGGCGATCTGCTCCAGTAAAGATTACAGCCTAGAAAACTCAATAGGGCAGTTCTACTCTGTCACATGGGGTTGCTATAAGTTGTAATCAACTTGATAACACCTAACAACAACAGTCAGAGAGAATGGAACTCCCCTGGCTACTACATTGCTGACTACAGGCCCTAAATAGGTCCAAGGTGAAGATTATTATATGGGTATGAGGTCTGGAACTGTTGGTGCCCTTTTTTAACTTTAAACCAGTTTGAGGACAAAGCTGACATACAGAGACTAATAGAGCTGAAAGGAAAAAACATGGCTGATCAAAATTTTTCTGAAGTGTAGTGTGTGTGTGTGTGTGTGTGTGTGTGTGTGTGTGTATGTATGTATGTGTGTGTATGGACCATTGGTGGTGCAGTGATTAAGAGCTACGGCTGCTAACCAAAAGGTCGGCAGTTTGAATCCACCAGCCGCTCCTTGGAAACCCTGGGGCAGTTCTACTCTGTCCTATGAGTCGCTATGAGTCAGAATAGACTCAACGGCAGTGAGTTTATATATGTATATGTATACGTAAAACTGTTGGATTTTTCGTTTATGGGATTTTTCATTACAGAAGAATGAATTTACTTTATGGTTAAGGTTGTTTTGGTTAGTACATACTTCTTTCCTTTGGGACCAAAAACATCCTAATGGATGCATATGGAATATTTTGCTCCATTTATTTTTCTTAAAACATGAAAGCAGTGACATTTTCATGACACTCTTGTGTTATTTATTACTTGATGTTAAGGCACTAGAATTGATTCATACTGATTTTGTAAATAACTTCGTTGATTTTCAGAAAGGATGACGTGTTCTGCTTTAGTGTGTTCACGGGTATCCCAAAGCTTTGAAAAAGTATTTATTTTGTTGTCACCATTAAGCGTCTTCAAGTCGATTTCAACTCGTAGTGACCCATGTGACAGAGTAGAACTGCCTCATGGAGTTTTCTAGGCTATAATCTTTATGGGAGCAGATCGCCAGTCATTTACCCCGTGGAGCCACTGGATGGGTTCCAACCGCCAACCTGTTGGTTAGCAGTTATGCCACCAGGACTCCTTATTTTATTGTATATAAAATATAAATGTCTAACTTACCCAATATTTAAAAATATGAAATAGCTTTTGAGTTTTTATATCAGGAAGTATGTTAAAAAGTCATCATATTTAGGTAGAATTTGGGGGAAGGAGAGAGGTATCATTAGTATTTCAGAAGTTAACAAGAAATGACAACCTTGACATTTTAGATACTATAACATAAACACGTGTTTATACTCTATGTTAGTGTTGCCAGCTAAATAACTATAGGTCCTCTATTCCATATCTGCAGTTCTAAAATTCGGATAGCTGTAGTAACTGAGTGTTTGGTAGTGATTCATCTGGAAGCAAAATGTGATTGTACTCATTTGACAGTAAAATTTAACTGAATATTTTTATGTTCTGTAGTAGAAATATTCATGTGCTTAATTTTAGGGTGCTGCCATTTCAACAGTCTCCTCATGTACAGTTCAGTGACATTAATTACTTTCATCTTGTTGTACAGCCATCATCACTATCTGTTTCCAAAATTTTCTGTCACCCTTAACGGAAGCTCAGTGTCCCGCTAAGCGATGAGTCTTCCATTCTCCCTCCCTCCTGCCCGTGCCTGGTAACCAGTAATAAACTTTGGTCTCTACACTTGCCTGATCTAGATATTTCATGTAAGTGGCATCACATAATATTTGTCCTTTTGTGATTGACTATTTCACTCAGCATAATGTTTTCAAGGTTCGTTCATGTTGCAGCATGTATCAGGGCTTCATTTCTCTTTTTGGCTGAGCAATATTCCATTGTATCATCTGAAGAAAAAATCCAATCAGTAAGTCAGTCAGAGTTATAAGGTTTTATTGTGTGGAAAAAAAACTGTTCAGGAACAGAGATCACCCCTCCAAAGAGATGAGTTCATCACATTACAATTTTGATTAGCTTATATACCAAGCAGACTGTTACGGG